CCCCTGGGCCCAGTCCAGCCAGCCCCCCCCTCCGGGAGGCCCCCCCCCCCCAGTGGCTGTCACCCCAGGGGACTGTCTGGGCTGCAGAGTTTTTCTCTTGACCACATTCTCCCTCTCTCCCCACTCTGTGGACTCGCCCTGCTCCTGCTCGCCGGGGCTGCTCACCTGCCTGGTAAGTCTTGCCCAGGGTGTGTGGGGCCTGAGCTGGGGGAAGTATGGGGGTGGCGGGGGAGGGCTGACAAGGGAGATGCTGGGTCCTGCAGGGGAAAGGCACTGGGCGGGGCCCTGGAGGACTGCCCGCCCCCACAGTTCCCGTCCCTGTCCCTCCCCTGACTTTGAGCTGGAGTCTGCACAGAGGCCCTCTTCCCATGGCCCCTGTGCTGGGCCGGGCCGCTCTGTCCTCTCCTAACTCTGTCCCTCTCTCCGCAGCCCCCGCAGGACGATGACGATGCAGAGGCTGGCCTCACTGAGGGGGAGGGGGAGGGCGAGGAGGAGAAGGAGCCGGAGAACCTGGGCAAGCTGCAGTTCTCCCTGGACTACGACTTCCAGGCCAACCAGGTGGGCGGCTGGAGGTGGGCGGCAGGGGACAGAAACCACCCCTCTCCGCGCAGGGGCAGGCTGGAAGGACCCCTGGCCCCACTCCCTCCATTAACCCACCCGACCTTGGGCCAGTCGGTGGCCTCTCAACTCCGGTGACCCCTGTGTCGTCCCGAGTTCTTGGGGGTGGAGGGGGGGGACGATCCTTCTCCTGCCCCAGCTTTGCCCCCGGACCCCGGCCTCTGGGAGGGTTGCTGGTGCTGCTCAGGCAGAGCGGGTGAGGGGCGGTCCTGAGACCCCGCGGCCCCCTGTCTCCACAGCTGACCGTCGGCGTGCTGCAGGCCGCAGAACTGCCCGCCCTGGACATGGGAGGCACCTCAGACCCTTACGTCAAAGTCTTCCTCCTCCCAGACAAGAAGAAGAAATACGAGACCAAAGTGCACCGCAAGACGCTGAACCCGGCCTTCAACGAAACCTTCACCTTCAAGGTGACAAGGGCCGGAGGGCAGACCCCAGGCCCGCCTGCCTCCTGCTCACCTCTCCTGGCTCCATGCCGTGGCTGAGCTCACGGAACCAACCAGCCTGGAACGAGGGCGGCTGGATCAGGCCCCCCCCCCAACCCCAACTGTTCCCCCAGAGCCCAGGTCTTCCCTCCATCTCCACGGCCTCACCGGGAGTCCCGCGGGCAGCGGGGAGAACGCTGGGCCCAGGGCCCGGCCCACAGCAGCCCCTGCAGGTGTGTGAGCCGCCCTGTCCTGCTCTGACCCCGCCTGTGCCCTGCAGGTGCCGTACCAGGAGCTGGGGGGCAAGACCCTGGTGATGGCCATCTACGACTTCGACCGCTTCTCCAAGCACGACATCATCGGGGAGGTGAAGGTGCCCATGAACACGGTGGACCTCGGCCAGCCCATCGAGGAGTGGAGAGACCTGCAGGGCGGCGAGAAGGAGGAGGTGAGGGCAGAGATGTGTTTGTCTTGTTCTCTGTTGAGTCCATCAGCTTGCTCCCCACCCCACCCCTCCTCACAGGCCTGTTCTCTTGGTGGAGAGCGAACCATCTCACTGGGGCAAGGACAGGAGGGACACAGGGATGGACCACGGTGGCCACATAGGTGCTCACGTGCTCCACCTGTTGACCCAAGGTGCTTGTGGGAGGGGGACTGGTGGGGGGGACCCATTCTTGAAAGGGCAGAGGAACAGAACGCGCATCCAACCCAGGAGAGGCTGTTGGGACAAAATGTTGGAGGTAGACCCCCCATCTTGGAGGTAGCCCCCCCCCCCAATCTGGCTTACTGGACCGCGGCCAGCGGCCAGGTGGTCAGGACCGCGGACAGCGGCCAGGTGGTCAGGACCGCGGACAGCTGCCAGGTGGTCAGGACCGCGGACAGCGGTCAGGTGGTCAGGACCGCGGACAGCGGCCCCGGGTCCTTAAGGGCCGTGGACAGCATCCCAGACTGGGCTCTCTGTGGGAAAGCACAACTTTCTTTTTTTAAAAAATATTTTTATTAATTTCAGAGAGGAAGGGAGAGAGAGAGAGAGAAACATCGATGGTGACAGAGAATCATCCATCAGCTGCCTCCTGCACGCCCCCCACTGGGGACAGAGCCTGCAACCCGGGCATGTGCCCTGACTGGGAATCGAACCCTGACCTCCTGGTTCATAGGTCGACGCTCAACCACTGAGCCACGCCGGCCGGGCCACTTACAGAGATTTATCGAGCACCTACTATGTGCCTGAGCTCGCCCTCTGTCCCGGCCAAGCCCTGCAGTGTGCCCCGCGTTCCCAGCTGTGATGGAGGGGAGAAAAGAGGCCCTTAAGGAACCTTCTCCACCTGGGGGCCGGCGCTGTCCCGGGGAAGGGCCCGCACCTGAGCAGTGGGCGGGGGGTGGGGTGG